ACCTCCACTCAAAATTACAGTATTAGTGAATAGTGACCTCAACTAGTGTGTTCAACACAATACTGTAGACAGGGCCATTTGTTTCACATTTTTTCAACAAAAATGCATTTTAAACATCACATTATGGGTCCTATCTTAGAGTGTTTAAGTCAAATATTATAGGCTGATTTGATGAAAAAATGTATTATTTTCCCAAATAATGTGCATCAAACAGGGGCAAAATTTCAAAAATCAAATTTATGTTTGATATATTCTTATTTAATAGAAGAACTACTCAAATCAAGTAATTTATTGGTTATTTATTGATTTTTTTTCATTTAAATTAACCCTCTCACTTTTATTATTATTATTATTATTATTATTATTTTATTTTATTTTGCAACATTGAAATATAATCAGGTGGTAAAATGTAGGATATCAAATTTTTGACAAATTGTACCAATAACTATCTTTATTAATTCACGAAAAGGCACTATAAACGAAATCTTATCATTAATTAAAGTTAATTTCTTGCTGCTGAAAGTATTCGCCTAATAAGATGTAAAGATATACGTCTTGAGTGAACCAAATAGATCTCAATAGAATATCTCTAGCTTAGTTAGAGTCGTAGCTTTCTTCCTCCAAAGATGTAAATAACTCGATTTAGACAATTTTTGACTAATTTTAAATTAAAATAAACGGTTTAATAAAATCTCTAGCCTCAACCACATCGTTTAATTTCCCAAACTAAACCGCAGATTTTTATAAACACCGATTTTGTTGTTTTTTCCCTCTTTCACTATATGTGACCACTAAACTAGTTCATTGATTAATAGCATGAAAATGTTGTCGATATATTAAAAAGAAACGTATAAATCCGACTATAGGTCCGTTTCGTAGTGTTTTATTTTTGTTTCTTGTAGAAATTAAAAAAAAAAGGTTATATTAGATCAATTTCCTTCACAAAATTCTTCTAGCAAACAGCGCTCCCAGAAAATTATCCAAACTAGTTAACAAACAGTTTCTCAGCCCTATTTAATTTAGATAAAAAATCATATTTTTAGTATATTTTGATTAAAATTGATAAAATATGTTGTTGAAAATGAATTTTCAAAAATAGGGACAAACGAGGGCTCGATATTAAAAAAATAAAATAAAATAGATTTTTGACTTTTCGAAAATAATGTCAAATGGTCGAGATATGTATTGAACTTCTTTGTTTCTTACAGACAAATTCAGGAATATTTATGTTGTTTATAACTACCATTGCTTCAAATTTCCAATGCCATTGATCTAATAATCCCAATTAAATTATTATCAGAATCAGAATCTTATTCTCTGAATTTTACAGCATTGTATGTTTTTTTATATAGTTCATATGTCTACAAATGCATGTGATGAAACGCCAAATGAGGATTCAAACCAAAATCCTCCCAATGTAGTCCCATAAAAAAAACTCCCCACTTGCCTAATTTAACAGCCTGAAATACCTAATCGCGATGTTTGGTAAATATTCAAATATTTTAATTTATTGATAAAAGTAAACTTTTCATATTAGGCGTGTAAAATACATCACGTGCAAGACTCAAGAATTTGACTATTTACATGCAATGAATGAATGATATATTAAAGTGAAACCAGCCATAAGTATCGTTTGGAACAATCTAGAACCACTAAGTCGTTGGGGTTATATTGGTATTGACATTGACATATTTGTAGTCTGATGATTATATTCATTGAACAACATATGATTACCTCATTTAACCAAGAACAGACAAATAAGGCACGTCTTAATACAATTGACAACGTTACAAAAAACTATATATACTATAAGACAAATAAGATATATTGTAAAAATATGTGTATTACTGTTAGTAATATAGAAGGTCCATCTCTCCACTTAAGCATATCACAATCTGCCTTGTTTGATGGAATTAGATATCAGATTTTTAATATATTTTGATAGAAGCTGATTAAATATATTGTTGAAAGTTATGGATCCAAAGAAATTAATTATTAACATTGATTTGTATTAAAATCTTGATTTTAATTTCTATCAAACAGAGATCCATAAGAAACACATAGTCAAAATCCTGATGAAATTCTGATCACAAACTTTGAAAAGTTTACTTAGGCCCCGTTTGGTAGAGATTTTTTGTCCCAAAAAATTGATTTTTTGACCGTTATTTTACTATTCAAGTCGTAATTTTTGACTTCTTCTCTCACATGTGGACTCCACTTTTCTTCTAACGGTCAAAAAATCAATTCTCAAAATCCCTACCAAACAGACCCTTATTTGGTTGTTAAAATGTCTTACGTGTAGGCATAGTATCAATGGGGTCGAAATAGTTCTTCAACAAAATTGATTAGGACTTTTTTTATTTTTTTTCCTCTCTCTCTCTCTCTCTCATGCCCCACGCCAACAAGGCCATGTGTTCAATTCTTATAGTTCAAGCAATATGGTGGCTAAAAATAGTTCACATTGGAATATGCTGTTGGCATGTCATAAGCTTCTTTGCAATATTTGGCTGGCAAATGTCGAACCATGTTTGAAAGTCAATTGTCAATTCGAAAACAACAACGTTTTCACGTAACTTCCTCGTGTAAGAAACACTTTGAATAGTTTGGATCCATACCTTTAGACACACAAGAACAAGGCAAGCACGTAAATCTTCGAATCCCAACTTTTAAGCCAATTAACTTGCACCAAATCAATTATAATTAACAAGTCTATAGATTTTTTTATTTCTTTTTAACGTTAATATTTCTGTCAATTCAATAGGTTCAACAGAACTTACAAAGTGACTTCAACAAGTTACTCGATATTTAATTAATTATATTAGCAGACGTTAAGTCACTTTCAAATACATTTTCTTTACTTTGTACAAGTAACGTAACAAATTTACATAATATTTAATTGACGATATTGGAAAACGTTAAGCCAATTCAAACAAGTAATCTTCTCATGGCATGATTTTAAAGTGATCGAATGAAACTTTAAAGTCAATAAATTAACAAAATCAATTAAAATCCTTTCTCCCCGAAAGTATATGAAACTTACAATGAAATATGCATTCGAAATTATATGAAGCTTGCAACGAAATTTGCATACAGTCGGACGATTGTTGAACTCTTATATAAATGTTAATATACAATAATTTTCTGGTCTTGAGCTAAATATAATAATGACGAGCAAATGAATAACACAATATTGAATTCAATACAACCAATGTTGAAACAAATAAAGATTCATAATTTGCTTTGTAAATACAATACCAATGTATCCCAAAATTGTTCCAAATCAATGGAACTCCAAATAATTCCATAAAATGTATCCCCCACCAAATTAATCAATCTGTACAAACCTAATTGAAAATCCAATATTAATTTTTTTTTGTGAAAATAAAAAAATAAAAAAATAAAAAAATCAAATGAAATAACTGGACAATTCAATCAAATTTGTGCTACTTCCACCACTAGAGAATCCCAAACCCAACTGCTGCTGCTGCCATGTTTGTACCTTCAATTTCCCCTGCTGATGGGGCTTGTACAAATCATAAGGCGCCCAAAGATGATCCAACGGACAGGGTTTGTTCTCATCAAGCCTCACCCATGGCTTCCCTTTACCACTCCAGTGCAATAGGCTCACCGGTCCAGGGTGCAGGCCTCTACAGGATCCTTTCACATTGTCCCCTCCTAATCCATGCTGGTTCCATCTGTGATCAATGGGCTCCACATTTCCACCGAAAACCAGCAAAAATGGAGGCAATGAACCCAGTTCATATATACGTTTCTTTCTCTGAAGTTCCATCCAGTTCTCAATTTTCTTCTGGTAATTCCCTCTTCGCCACTTTTCTAAATCCATTACCATTACACCAGTGTTGAAATAACAAGGGTTTCTTGACCCGAACACCCGTCTCAGAACCGGGTCGGACCAGAATGCGTCCGTGAAGTATGTGGTGAAATTGGCGTGGCAGTATTCCGGGGCTCCAATTACTTTGGATCTGGGGATGGGGGTGTTCCAGAGCTTTTGAATGTCGTCAACCAGGACAAGATCCGAATCCAAGTAGATGACCCGATTGACACATGAATCAAGAATGTCGCCCAGATAGTTCCGGACGTAGTTTAACGGGTTCTCCAGGGCGGTCCGGATGGAGGAGGAGATTAAGTTGATCACTGTGTCTTCACGAAATATGTAGACTTTGAAGTTGAGTGAAGGGAAAATGGATCGAACAAGTCGGGACAGGACTCGCGGGCTGGTTGAGTCGAACTCGGCGGCGATGAAGTGGAAGAAAATCTGCTCTGGGCAAGACGCGTGACGGAGAACAGAATGCACCGCCGCCACCGACCCGCGTAGATACTCCGAGTCAAGAGTCATCGCCACGTGAATCAGCGACGGATCACATAACGTCACAACCTGCCCCTCCATTGTCGCCGCCGACGACGAACAGTCGACGCCGTTCCGGTAGTCCGGGGCCTCCGAGAACCCAAAAAAGCTATTAAATTCCGATTCAGACACCCCAGAATTCGGAAAGGAACGAATCCCAAGACATATCAACGGTAAACAAAAAAGAATCAGAAAAAATCCAACGTTCTTGATTAACCCGAATCTTGCAAGAACCATTTTTTCTAGAGAGAGAAAAAAATGCTTCTTGAAAGGATCGAAACTTTTTCTCCGTATGTATGTATATATTTGTTCTATTGAAAATGCATAATGCAGTAAAGCGAAGAAAGAAAGGGAGGGCTCTGGAGAAGGAAATGCAAGCTAAGAATGTGTAGTTAAATCATTCCACGCGTATATATACAACGGCAATGAGTGGAATGGAAAAATGCAGTGTCAAAATTCAAACAAAACGCGTTTTCACTTCTACAAATGGAGAAATTAAATTGAAAATTTGCAGTAAAAATAATTAATTATTCAATCCTGTGCATCTTTTTGTGATTTTATATGCTGTAGATTCTGATAGCACGTTTCTCATTTCGATAATTTCATATTTGTTTGAACGTTATTTTTTGAAAAAATAGGTTTTATAATAATAATTTTTTAAAGAATGCTGGTTAAAAAGTAGAAAATATTTGAAATTTATGGATATAATTATTTTATTATGAGAATGTATAATTAAAAATAAGTTTTAAAAAATGAGACTCAGGAATTTAATTTCACGTATACTCAAGATATCTACTCTATTATGGAAACAATATATTTTAAATATTAATGAAAATTTTCGTCAAAGCAAAAATAAAAATAATTATAAGTTCGTGATTGCTAAGAAACATGAAGTGAATAAACGTTGTGTAATCCAATTACACATGTAATTAAAATTTGAGTTTGGCCAACTTTCTTGTAAACTTAAGCTTTATCAAAAAAGCACTTATTAGAGCCTGTTTGAGCCACATTATAATGAGAATAAGAATGAGAAATAGAGTCTTTATAGGCTTCACACCAGAAATAAAAATTCAAAAATGGTGGCTTGATGTGATGGATAACGATCATATTTTTCATTTTAATGAGGTAAAAATGTGGCTCAAACAGGGGCTTAAACTATTGTTGGAATAGGCAAATTGATCTCTAGTTATTAGAAAAACATATTTCACCATTTTATTATGGTAAATTGTCATGCATGGCCCGAAATCTTTGTCTTCAGCTTAAAATTTTTCAGTCCAAACCTTGAGATCTTGGAACAACTGCCCTCAAATCTTTATATTATTGGCACTGTTGATCATTTTGGATGAACTTCAGCCCCAATTTGACGACCATTATTATGAAGATGAACATATTTTATTTTTCAAGACCTAACTTTGTTTTCCAATGAAGAAGATGAGGACGTTAGGTTTTCTTCGGAAGATTTTCTTTTCTTTCATTTTATATATCGATCATTAAAAGACAAGCACAAATTTGTATTTTAAGAATAGATAATAGAATAATGTCCTTAGTACATGGCACTATTCATACAGGGACCTTACAGGCCCCTTACTGTAGAAGGCAGGTTGATGGATCCAACTTGCATTTAAAAAAAAAAAAAAAAAAAAATCGCGTGGGCCTCCCCCCTTGTGTCTGTCTTGGCAGAGGCTTGTGAGCCAAGCCTTTGTCTTGTACGTGAAGCATCCTTCTAGATAATAAGGACTTATTTTTAATCTATTAAGGGTTGAGGACAACAAATGGTTAGGAACATGATCACTATTTTTGTCAAAGTTAGAAACTATGAACCTGTTTGTCTCCTATTATTGAAAAAATTATGGAGTTTTGAATAATATTTTTGAAGAATGTGTTGTTGAAATTTAAAGAAATTTTATTGTTTTATGTGTAAAATATTTTATTATATGAATGTGTGGTGAAAAATGTAACTGTAATAAATTATTTAATTTATTAAATGATGATAAACAGGGGCTATATGTACAAAAAAAATTTGAAAACAGAGGACAATTCTCGTGTAAAATTAACGGTAATTTTTTTTTTCTTTTCAGAATCCATCCAAAATGATCAATTATTCCAGGATGTAAAAGTTGTTGACTATTTGTATAAAGATTTAAACGTTTGAACAAAAAAAGCAAGACGGACAAATGTTTGGAACCATTCAAGCTAATTTTCGTCTTATTATTATTCATTATATTTGCACAATCACTCTTAAAAAACAAAACAATCAAATATATATTGAATCATCTTATTTTCTTGACCATCACACACCTAACTTAGCAATGCTAGATTTCGTTTTACAATTTTGTCAACGTAGAAATTTGAAGCAAATTTAACCACTTTTTGTCCTTTTATGACATCTGTAGGCTCTATTTGTTTTCTATTTTTGAAAGAATGAAAATAAAAAATATAGTCATTACGGAACTTATATAAGGGTTAAAAAATAAAAAATGATGGCTTGATGTGATGGATAAAAATCATATTTTTCATTTTTACGGCCAAAGAATATGAATCAAACGAGGGCTCAAAACTATTTTTATCCTCACATTTTTGTGAGAATCAGGAATATCATTCATTTATTAATACTCATTTCTATCTATTTATAATTTAAACCCACTTATAATCGCCTACCAAACATGTGTTAAGGAGCACTATGATCTTTTTCAAATGATTGAGTGCCAAATTAGTATACGAACAATAGGTTGAGGATAGTTTCTGCAATTTTCTTTATTAATTTTAGCGGAATGAAAAATAACCCATGGGTTTGATATGCAGGAAAGGAACATTGTGCGCTGTTATGGTGGGGAATCATGCTAGTTCTGTTATGACGCGTTCTATTCGCGCGTGTACACTAAATGTCGCTGTCGTTTACAGTTAGTGCGTGATAAAGCGTTTAATATGTGTAGATTTATGGTTTAACTTCGATTTGACCTTTATTTCTTAATTATTTTTTTAATCTGTTTGACAATCATTATCCAAAAGTTTATTATGCGCATTTTTGAGGCACATTATCTTAAAAAAATATATTTTTAAACAGTAATTTTATATCATTTTAACAATACATTCTTTAATAAAATAATATTACACGCAGATCAAAAAAATTTCCTTATTTTTTAATCACACATTTCTCATCAATACACTATTCAAGAATGCATTATTATCAAAATAATGTGGCTCAAACAGTCCCTTTCAACCATACGTTCACACAATAAAATATTTTATACGTAAATTAAAAATTTTCCTATTTTTCACCACATATTGTTTAAAAAATTACTATTTAAAACTTTATTTTTGCCAAATAATGACCATCAAACAAGGCCTTAATAAAATTTTCAATTTCTATCACTTATCATCCTATATATCATTAAATCATAACAAAATTAAAAAAAAAAACCCATTTTTTTTATAAGAAACATGGAAAAGAGGATTCTAACTAACTAATTTATTGTAATGGTAAAGCAGTAGTTGGTAGTTGCTTTTTATTTAAAAATAAGAAAAGAATATATTTTTGGTTGTATAGTTGGTAAGTTTTGGTAGTCGCTATCAGCATGTATGGAAGTGATTTTTTCCTAAAAAAATTTGATTTTTTGGCCATTATTTCACTATTCCAGCCGTCATATTTGACTTCTTCTATCACAGGTGGACTCCACTTTTCTCCTAACTGTTAAAAAATCAATTCTAAAAATCACTCCCAAACAGGCTCTATTTTATGTAAAAGTTAAAACATTTTTTTCTAAGTTGCCTAATCTAAATTTAAATAACATAGACATCTTTTAAAAATTCTTGTTTCCTCTTTTTGGGTATAAGGAAATGTGATCTTTTGCTATAGTTTATTTTATTATTATTATTTTATTTTTTTGGTGAAATGTTGCAAGAATAATGGCCATTTTTCTTTTTTCTTTTTTGGTTCTAAAGAATTGGGTCTTTTGAACATTGGAAAAAGTATAGTTGCTTTGAGTGTAAGTATGCAACCTACCACTTATTAAGCTTTTATTTTCTAGCATTTTTTGCATTTTGTGTAAATTTATTGTATTACATTCTTTTACTAGTTAGAAATTCACTAACTATCTAGATTTATTTTCAAGCTTGGTATGTTGGTTGGACAAATTTAACAGAACAAAAAAATAAGTCTATGAGAATGATGTGTGTGTGTATATGAGTTTTATAATATGTTATGAGTTTTATAATATTTTGTTTTGGCTTGTGAGAAAATATAACTTTAAAATATAAAGACCTTAATTGTTGAACTTTGCTAAAATATAGAGAGAAAATTTGACAAAGTCGAAGTCTACATTCATCTTGAGATGAGTAGGCCAAAATAACCTTATCTCGACTAAAAGGAAAGAAAATTTGACGTGTGGTTAATTATGTTAATTGAGTATTACTTAATAAGCGAAAACAATTCAATACGTGTGTGTACGAAACAAGTAATTAGTAAGAAAAATGTCTTGTACGCAAATTTACGTTAGAATGATGATATTGAACATCGATGATGCGATGATCTATATGAAGAAATGTGATTTGACAGTTCAATTTTTATGAAAGAGAGGGGGAAGGGGAAGAGAGAGAGAGAGAGAGAAATGTAAGGAAAAATAAGTAATCACATCATCTTTATTTTATTATTATGATGATAAATATCATTACTTTTTACGTTATGAAGTGTAGTACAGCTTACTAAAATTGTCATTACAAACAATATACTTTACCCTAATGGCGGTCAAAATTTCCTTTTCTTTTGTAATTGATTTTTAATTCTATTAATCAATATGAATATTTTCTTGTACAGTTTTACCACTTAAGCTAACTATTATTATTTTTCATTTTTTTGAAAAATGTAATTATGTTAATTAGTCATGAATGTAATAAAATATGAAATATGCCATGTAAATATTTTCCTTTTACAACTGTCAATGAAAAAAGGGAATTTAAAAAATACACCTCGTATTTAGGATGTATTTACATTTTCTATATTTACACTTTACAAAATTACATTATATGGCAACAAAAAATAACTTTGGCTAAATAATTAATTAATGATAATTATCATTGGAATAAATAAATAGATCAAAATATTCATAAATTGAAAATGACAAATTACACCGTTTGTAAGTCATTCGTAACACTTACATACTAATATTTTTAACTATATTTTTATTCTCCAAAATTCAATTACTATTTCCTTTTTATCTTTTTTTTTTTTTTTTTTTTTTTTTTTTGTTTTTTTAAAAATTTTTTTTTTTTTTTTTTTTTTTTTTTTTTTTTTTTTTTTTTTTTTTTTTTTATTTTATTTTTTTTTTTTTTTTTTTTTTTTTTTTTTTTATTTTTTTTTGTTGACAAAGTCAAATGAAATATTTTCTAAATTTTTCAATATTTTATTAACTTACTAAAATTAATTTTAATAGATTTGATGTTAGAGTTTAGGTAAAGAGGACAATAAATTTCATATATATCATTAAAAAAGTCATTTAAAGAAAAAATATCTAAGGAAAATAATAATAATTAGGAATGAGTATGAAAAATATTATATAATGTAATATATACTGTACGATTTTTTATTTCAGTTAAATTTATTTGTGTTTTTATCTATTTATAAATTTATAATGGCATATTTATAGATTTTCGACAAACAATACTTTTATACAATTATGTGTAACATTAATTTGATAGGAATTAAAATAGAATGATGCTATTTGCAGTGAAGATTATCGACTGTCGTCGTATGTAACGTACAATTGGCAGTTTTTCATTTGATGTATAATTCAAAAAATAACTATCATATCTATGTATCAAATATCAAATTGTCAAGTATATGTCATATAGGACGACTACTAACAGTCTTCACTACGAATAACATTACTCATTAAAATAATAATAACGGAAACAAGATTACAAAGGGTGAAAGTGGGAAAAGGGTCCAATAAAAGGTTGCGTGGTGGCGCCAAAGCAATGAGAATATTCATTCCTTTAGCCAGCTGGAAATGTTAATGGAGTGCCAGCTGGGTTAAGTATTTCGAGTTGTGACTGATGTTGACGGCTCAGATCAGTCTGGCGCATAACACTGGTGCCATGTGATCTCCATTCTTCCAACACCCTGTCTGCCTAGGGTTTCATGTATTTTATCTCAACTTGCGTTGCCCTTGGACCTAACAGATCGAAATTCTTTAAAAAAAAAAAAAAATTCTCATCAATTAACCTTTGTTTGTTCACAATTCTATCATATTTACCATATAATTTTTTCTACCGTACTTATTTTTAATAACACATTATTCATGAAAATAATATTACACATAAATAAAAAACTTTTCATTTTTTTTAACCATGCATTTCAATTTCAATCACTATTTCATAATATACTTTTTAAAATTAAAGGGGCACAAACAGGTCCTTGATAAATGCGGCGTTTAGAGCCTCATTTTTTTTTTTTTTGGTTAAGAATGTATTTTGAAACAATAGATTGATGAAGAATGCGTGGTTAAAATATAAAGAAAAGTTTTGATATTATTTTATTGAAGAATCTGTGTTTGAAAAGAATAGAGAAAAATGTATTTTAAAAATAGAGTAATTTCATAGGTACAGAAAATTATTGACAGAAATGATACAGGTGCTACATTAACAACATCGATATGGTACATTTTCTCTATATTATAGCAAAACTATTAGAAATAATGAGGATCGAATAAGGGCTTAAGAAGATTATCTTCGACTACATGCTTAGGTTGGAGTGCATCAGTTTTGATGACGTATGAGCCAAATGTGTGGAGTCATCTTGACGAGTTTTGAGACAGCTCGAAACAAGTTAGATTTAATTTGACTCGATTTTTTTTTGGACTTTATTAATGAAATTTCTCATATACGAAGCTTCAGTTTCTAGTAGTAGCTTAAGTTTTTAAATATAGATTTGTTTGGATTGACACATTGAACCACCACCATACAATCCAATCGAGAACAACTCAAGTTGTGCCTTCAATGTGATGAGTGCATTATCTACTCCATATATAGCCGATGTGGTATTTTGTTTTACGTTTTCTCAAACTATCAAACCCCCCACTCCAAAATGAAATGTAACATCATCAAATTATCTTCAAGAGATAATCTATTCGTCATTCTCAAGTTAAAATGGATCACATGTCCATTAAATGGCAAACTCTTCTACATGGACACAACTGTATTTAAGAGCCAATTACATATTTTTCAATCATTGTGATTGATTAAGGTTCATCCCTTCGTTCAGTTGTAGTTGCAGATTTGTCTTCGTGATTTGATTAAAGTTTTACTTTGACAACAACCTTTGGAAATTGAGGTCCCATCCTTGGCTAGTAGGTAGATTAACTAATTCGGTCATTCTATTTGTCGACATGAAAGAGTTTAAGCAAATACTAATTTATTAGTTAGGTGACAATATTATTTATTACAATCAATTACTTAAATTACTAACTTATTGAATAAATTATTGGACGGTGGGGAGTTGGGAAGAGCAGGTGGTATTGTTGCATAGGATTCCCGTAGGAAACAATGGAATAGGCACACGGGTTCGGACGAGGTACTATTGGCCACATACACTGCACCTATCACAAGGTAGCAGTTTGTCTACTGTCTACACACATGGGTATACATTCACAGGGAATTCGAGTACAAAATCTTTATCTGGCATCTCTGGATAACTTTTTATTCGAGAAAAGAAGTTATTCGTTTAATTTAATTTTATTTTTATTTTACATTTTACGGTTAAAATAGATAACTTTTTTTATTTACGAGCAACTTTACTTTTAAGTAAATGTTTTATGCTTAGTTAAATAGCAATAACAATAAATTGAGAACCCCTATTAGCTATTTTGGACTTTATGAGGATTTCTAATTGACGGAAGTGTTACATGTTGAAATAATTATTATGTATTTGGATTTAAATATGAGTTTCAATGCTATAATGAGAGGACGTCAACTCATTAAACGACTAAGAGGTCCTAAAATTGCTTGTAAATAGGTCGTTTGCACAACTAAAATTAGTTAAAATTTAAGATTCAATAAAAGAATTGTATTGGATGAAGGCAAAATTAGAATACACCCTCTTGAAAATTCTAATATTCTCCGACCAGCGGGAGCCTTTTTTTTTAAAATCAAAATCACATGAAGAATTCTATGTCTCTTCTTTCTACAAACAATTTGGCTCCTAAACACATCCAAAAACCTTCCCCAAAAAGGGGGAAAACCCTGCTGATATTCTAGCCAAAAACTTGATAGTTGAATTTAAAAATTATTTACATTTTCGGAGGTCAACAAAAGCATCAAAGGAAGAGGGTAATTATTTTAGCTTTACCGTACCTGATAGCATGGTGTATTAAATTATGAAATTTTTTGTATAAATAGGTTGGCATCTATGCATTGCACGCATGTGTCAATCTATCTATCTGCACAAGTAGATTAATTGTTAAATTATAAGCAATATGTTAATTGATAATCAAGAATAATGCTATATATACATCCTCTCTTACCACTTGGTTGACATTACCTCATTTGTGGAGAAAATCTGTGCAGTGATGTGATAAATGAATTTAAAAATAAGAGAATAGATGTTGCCATATGAAATAGTGTAAAGATAAGTGTAAGCGAAAATGTACATGTATAGCACAATTGAATAATCGATGAAAATAGACAATTGTGGGCTAGGATCAAGTTTAGGGTGCTTTTCAAATGTACAAATAATACTTACAGATTCATTACGCGTCCAAAACCTAGATTATATATAGGTATATAAATGTCTAGTGTGATGTACCCGTCTTTAGCACTAACAAGAGTAGTGTGTATAAAAACATGTTTGGCTAAGCTTAAAAAATAATACTTGCAAAAAAAACAAAAAAAAAAAACTCTACCTTTAAAATTTGCGCTAGAAATTAGTCAAACAGCCTTACATGTGCCATGCTATACATGTCAATACATTCAGAATTAATAGGCACAAGGAACTATGTATCCGAAATTATCATGGAAAAAATCAGTTCCACTGCCAAAAATTATAACATACAAGTGTAACAACAGTAACACAAACGAATCATTCCTAATCTCCACAGGAGTAGAAAACAAAAGGCGAAAACCAAGAAAAAGGAGAACGTGCAAAACCGAGCAAGTACGTTAAGAATTTCATATTGCAACTTTTATTTCCAAAGTTAATCTATGTTTTATTCCATGTTCGTCCAAGTTTCTGAGTATAACGGCAGTTCGTGTGTTTCTTGTTGATTTGACTCATGGAAGCACAGCTCTCAGCTCTTTCCTATCCGCTCCAAAGGACTGTAAGAGAAGTAAGAAAATTAGGAAAGAATTTATAGTTCTTCAGTTTGACAAATTTAAACTCTTATCATTACATTCTATAATTTACTATCATAGTTTGATAATATCAATGCTACAACTTATCGTTTTTTAGCATATCAACTTCCATGCCAACAGATTATCCCCAAATATGAGTAGCTTTAGATTAAACAAAGAAACTTAAACCAGTAAAAATAGAAAATGCCATTATTAAATTTCAACTTGAAACAAAAGGGATTTCGATATTTTTGTTGCACGTAGATATATAGAAAGGGGTGGAGGGACGGCGAGCCCAAAAGGTTGGTCAATTTAACCTAATAATACTAGATCACAAGTCATACACCAAAAATGAACAAATGGAAAACAAACTAATATGCAATTAGTACATGACCCCAGAATTTCACGTCATGAGAAACACTATCACATAGCACGACCTGTGACCCGATGTCAAACACATAAACGCTGTTATTGCATTGTGTGATCATTGCTAATTCAGAACTATGACCTAATGAATCATACACATGCATGTGATCAAACTTCAAAGATGTGACCAATGTTTTGGGAAAAAAATTGAGATATGACTTCGTAACAACTCTGTGACCAAAATATGATAAACATGTGACCTAAATCCTATGTAATTGTGATCAATAATAAATACATGCAATCACCTAACAGTTTTGGAACATAATGTGATGACATGTGACACAAAATAGAGTTATCTCTGACCAATAACGGAAAAACGATTAAATTTGGCTCCCAAGAAAAAGTACATGATCTTTTATTGTTAGAGAATGTCACAGATAACTTAATTCAGTGGCACATAGCTTTTTTTTGGGAGCCAAATTTAATTCTTTTTGAGTTATTGGGTCAAAGATAACTCTATTTTGTGTCACATGTCATCACATTATGTCCCAAAACTGTTAGGCGATTACATGTATTTATTATTGGTCAATTTACATAGGATTTAGATCACATGTTCATCATATTTTGGTCACAGAGTTGTTACGAAGTCATATCTCAATTTTTTTTCCAAACCATTGGTCACGTCTTTAAAGTTTGATCACATGTATCTGTATGATTCATCAAGTCAGAGTTTTGAATTAGCAATGACCACACAATACAATAACAGCGTTTATGTGTGTGACATCAGGTCACAGGTCCTGCTATGTGATAGTGTTTCTCATGACGTGAAATTCTGGGGTCATGTACTAATTACATGCACCTAAATATCAAATGGAAAACAAATAGAGGTGGTTAAAAATGTGCACCTAAATTCATTCATCTCTTCTTTCTTGATGCAAAACAAACTAATATGAAATTACATGCATTATTTATGCAACCTGCAATAATTGAAAACTTGCGAGATTCTCCTACATTACTTCTAACACTGATGAAATTCCCTTCATGCGCAGCCCTGATGACATCAATGTACTTGGTTTTGACTCCTTTGTCTTCTAAGACTCACCAGGCCACTATAAAACTTGTATTCCAAGACTGTCGCTTCGTCAGTCTTCTTAACAAATAAATAGTTTCCGAACGGCAAATTAATTCTCTGAAATCAATTTAGAAGTATAATTCTTGGAATTTATAAATTTCTATAAATAGACAGACTTCATTTTCAACCACACATTCCAATGGCTCCACAAGCTATCCACTTATCCAACCCTCTCTCTATCTATGTATAAATTAAACAGTTTTATAAATTCTTCCCAAAAGGAAGCTAAATCATGGCATGATAACTCGCTCCCAAAGATTCATGACTCCTGAATGTCTCCATTATTCATTGAATGGGAACTACAATACTCTTATTCAGTCATTTGACATCTGTCTGGTCGAAATGGTTTCCTCAAATACTGCTGTCAACAAAGAAACAACTTCTCCCAAGACATTTCTACACCCAACAGGCTACCATGTGATTCCAAAGCTATACAAAGTTCCATCTTTTGATTCATTAATTACACGCCTTCAGAGAACTGGAACAGTCAAAATCTATACAGCAATATCGTTTATTTATGATTCAATGATTGCAAACATTACTCGGATAAATATTTAGGATTAAATAATTAAATATGTTGAAAGTTCAGGTCTAACAATTGCTACTGCAAAGGATTTTCAATATCACGAGTCAGGACTCGCTACTCAGGAGTACTACTTTAGGACTGGGATCACAGCTGTTTCCCAAGTTTTTTTTCGATTATTGGATATTATTAGTGAATACAATGCTCCGTCTGCCCCATTCCCTTAATTCCACCTCATTCCTACACTGCACTCTAGCAGGGCAAAACAATCAAGCAGAGCACTTCGCACTATACCAGTCCACAATTATCAGTTGTCACTCAAACAAAGAATCCTTTCTATATTTCTAAATGCTCTACAAATTACTTCTCCACTCGTCCTGACGTGCTGTGTTCCCTATGGGGTGACAAAGGAGATGCCACAATCACAATCTATAACCTCATACATCGTTTTCAATGGCCAAATCATGCAAATTTTAGCAGAATCCTTGATCCATCATTGATACAGTCAGACATGGCATACACGAGAAAGAGCATATGTTGACAACACCAGAAACAGGAAAAGAAAATAACATATATCTATCACATGTTAAAAGGTTAAGATATAAAGCATCTTCAGTCACCTTAGCACTCAAAAGTAGAAAGAAGTCAAAACACACAGAGTATCTTACAATAAAATAAATATAAGATAAAAGACATACCTCAACTCCATAGCCTTTCACATACACGTTAGTAAAAAGCTCAGAAGGTTCCGGCATTGGGCTCTCCTGGAAAGCCAAACAAAATTTTTGTAAAATACTAAAACAAAGTTTCAACAGTATTCTTTGAGATTCTCCAAATCCAAGCAAAAAAAGAAAGATGAACTTCTTACCTTAGCTTGTGCAATGGCTTCATCTACATTTTTTCTCACTTCTTTCTCAATGTCCTGACAGAAAAAGTAAGAACAGCCAAGTATCTCTTAATATTATTGATTTCTCATGAGGAAAGCTCACATCACACTCTTGGTTCGTTCTAATTAGGGAAATATATTTTCACATTACCTTTAGCTCCTTTTCAGTGGCTACATCATGAGATAGAACAAGCTTCCTAATTCTTTCAATTGGATCACGCTCCTGGACACAAAAGCAGATACTAATAAACACTTCATATGAAAGGTTCGAGACAAAAATATTTCCAATTTACACCCCCCCCCAACACAGAAGAGAACATTAACAATTAATCCACCTGTCTCACGCCACTGATTTCGTCACGTGTGCGGTATGTGCTTCCCGGATCAGACATGGAGTGCCCATGGTACCTATAAGTGTCCATTTCAAGGATCTGAAGAGAATCAAGGGGAATATTAATGTGTTACATGACACAAATGGAAAGAGAAAAACATATATCTCATCAGTTACCATCATAGATATTATAGCTGCGTAGCACATGCGATATCAATTTGAGTTAGATGACACTCAACAAACAGACTATAGAAGCTTCCAGCAATATACGTACAAGACACTTAGTCCTGTCTATTACGTTGACAAGTTGAAGGCTAACAATAAAATTATTTTGACACATCTCTCCAAACTCATTTTTTCTCTTTCCATTTTTCTTTTCAGATATGGGTTATCTTTACTGGGAAATGGATACTTGATAGTTGATAAATATGAAAAAAGTGTAAAAAAGAAAGGAGACAATTAAAGGCCAAGCTCAAGTACGTATTCTCTCTATCAGTAGACTATTATCATAAATTCCTTTCTATATGCATATAAAGCCAGGCTGCTATATTTTTAGTAAGAAACACAAAACTGGTGTTCTTGAAATATGATATGCCATTTCAATTACCCAATTTAAAAAACATAATGTTTCTTTATTTATCATTTAAATACATAGTTAAATGTTCACAACATCGGTGTAAAAACACAGCCAAACTCAAAATATGCAACTTACAAGATATTTTGCAGTATATCAAAAATCAATAAAAAAATAAATCAATCACAAGATCAAAATAAATGATCATCTTTGATTTTAAGAAAAGGATTTATATCTCCACTGTCACGGCAGCAGTCCAGATACACAGGAAGCATACAGCCAATCAACTATTATCAATAATACATGTCCTCTATTTAGATGCAATTTACCAACAAATAATCTCAAAAAAGATAAGTGTAGAAACCAATGTTCCTTGTTACTAATTCAAAACGTATATAAATGCTGATTTCCCAATCTTTCTAGCATGACAACCAAACCCTTCCAAACTAAATCCTGGGATTTCCCACGAAAAGATTTTCTTACTATTGACAATTAACTAGTGAAAATAAGCCTGAGATCCAGTAACAATACAGAGAACACTACAACAAACTAAGCCTTGTTCTCAGTAAATTTGGGGTCGGCTAGAGAGTTCGGCACTATGAAAGAAGAAAATAATATTCCACAAAACTCGAATTACATATTCCTCATCGTGAAAATCTTGTTTTCATGGAATCTTGGAATTAAATAGAATTGAAAGTTAATTTCTCATTTAGCATTTTCCACAAAATCCTTCCAAGTATGTAATACTGCAAGTAAACATGCTATCTGACCATAAGTTTAACGTAAAAGGATACATGTCGAAATAGCCGTTTACGCCCATGTTTGGTACATATCATTTAAAACTCATTTTCTCCAAACTCATCTTCAATCACACATTCTCCCAATAAAATAATTTTGCAAGTGGACTCCTAGCTTTTCCTTACTTTTTAACTACAAATTCTTAAAAACATATCACTTTTCACAAATTATTCTAAAAAAATTTGCATCAAACAGGCCCTAAAAGAAAACTGAAAAGAATCACAGATAAAAGAATTATCTTGATATCAATATGCCCATACAAAGCTCAGTTGAACTCACAATTGGTCCATTCTTCAAAGCATGCTCCTTGGAGAACTTGCATGCTTGTTTAACAGCAAAGACATCCATACCGTCTACCTGTTTCAAGGCAAGAATGTGCAATGAAACAAAAATCATAGAAATCTATTACAAACAACATAGAAAAGAAACAACTTTTTCACCAGACAATAGAAAAGAAGCTTTTTAACATTGCTACTGCTATTGATGTTATGAAGGAATAAACGACAGTACATTATGAAGAGTTAAGACATTTTCTTTCGCACTTACCTAGGAAAGTGGCATAAAGTTACGGGCTTGAAACAGAAGACAGATTAATCAAAATTTCTACCAAATTCACTCCCTTCTAGAATTCTGTATCTTCCAATTCTAGTAGAGAAAACATATTTCCTATGAACTGTATGAGAAAAATGAAAGACAACAAACATAAAATCAAATATTTTACTTGCCTTCAAACCAGGAACATAATCCCCTCTCTTGTAATAAGCTGGACTCTTTGCTGCCCTCCATTCTGCTGTCCCCATCCCATCTGCAGCAATAATCCAATAGAAAGAATCAAATATCCTACTTTAACTATATCCACCCAATCAGACCCAGATATCTCCATCAACACTGATTAAGAAAGGCATGTACGACATCAAACACAACTAATTTAGCATAGATGTGTAATTACTCATGACATGGAACCGTTTTTTTGGATCAATAAAAACGAAAACTTTTACATCCAAATCTATAATTACTTCATCCATTCCCCAATCTTTGAGTAAGGTACAATATTGATGTTTGCGGAAGAAGCACAAAACATCGGTGGCAAAACCATCAAATGGCACTTGGTTATTCACAAATGGGATCTCTAATTCCAAAACACATCAAATTATTAAATCATAAACTATACAAAAACATCCGTTTGATTATGTAATTGATAAAAAAAATATAAGAAAAATGAATCTTTTAGAAAACAGCCATTGGTATACTCCTTGTTCCATGAGAACAGAAACGTATTGATGAAAAAAAAATCGTAGCCTACTATTATAGTTAACTCCAAGAGTCTCGCTCTATAACCAATTATATTACTTACAGTGATTATTCTCGCAGACCAGAATCGCAGGCAGATCCCACAAAGCAGCCATATTCAAGGCCTCGAACAACTGCCCCTGATTCGCTGCACCATCACCGTACAAGGCAAATGTCACATTCTCATCTTTACTGTATTTCTGTGCAAAAGCCAATCCACAGCCCAATGGAATCTGTGCCCCCACGATCCCATGCCCTCCATAAAAACCACTATCCTTCTTGTAAAAATGCATCGAGCCTCCTTTCCCTTTAGAACACCCATCCTTTCGCCCCATAAGCTCCGAAAAGCATTCGAGAAGGGTTCCACCGCGACCGAGGAAAATACAGTGGTCACGATATGCGGTGATTATGCAATCTTTCTTGGTAATCGCGGCCTCCATACCCACTGCCACTGCTTCTTGACCATCGTAAAGGTGACAGAATCCCCTAATCAATTTCGCCTTATATAAAGAGTCGGCGGCGATTTCCATCCGACGCATAAGAGCCATGTCGCGAAAGAAGGTCATAAGCTCCTGAGGAGTGGTCTCAACGGAGCGAGACGGCGGATCGATCTTGTGGCCAGTGAAGGGGAGAGATGTCTCGACGGTGATTGGGGTGGTGGAGGTGGTGGTGAGGAGGCGCATGGAGGAAAGTGCGACGGAGAAGGGTTTCAAGAGATCCGCGGTCCGGCGAGTCAAATGAGCCATTTTGGCCGTTGGATTTGGCTGACTTCTAGGTTGGACGTTGGAGATTTTAGTTTAGTGTAGTTTGTGAATGAATCTGTACCTGACCGTTAAAGGACTGAAGGGGTGAATGTTGGGGGGTTCGGTGATGGAGGAGAAATGGAAAAGAATAACGGAATTTTGGAGAGTTTATATCAAAAAAATGGGGATAACAATGGAAAATTTGAAAAGTCTGCGGATGGGTGCGGAATTATTAATAATAATAATAATAACAACAACTCGCAAAATAATATTATTAAAAAATATATATAGCTGGTGTAAATTAAAATTAAGTTAAATTTTTAGTCAAAGATATATTTAATAATATATTTCATGGAATTTATAACTTTTCAACTACAAATTTCATCAATTTTGATTAAAATTTCCTAAAAATCTGATTTTAATCTACATTTTTATATAGCGACTGGTGCTATTTTTGTTCCTTACACAATTTTCAACTTTTTATCTATCCTGTAAGTATAATACTATATTAGTATGAAATATAATCGAGTTTAATAAGGAATAGTAACGAGTCATGATATTTTGAGTTTACTTCCTTCTTTATTTGTTATAATTACGTTTAATTGAGGGCCGTTTGGAAGTGATTTTTTATCCAAAAAATGATTTTTTGACCGTTATTTCATTATTTCAATCGTAAAGTTTGACTTATTCTCTCACAAGTGACCCTCACTTTTTTTTCTAACGATCAAAAAATCAATTTTCAAAATTGCTCTTGAACGGACCTGAATAAGGTAAGCATTTTATTTTCCTATGCGAAATGGATGATGTCAAAAATTAAATTGGAACTTTAAAGCAGAATTATATTATTGGTTATTTTAATTTTGTTTCTTTGATTACAGAAAGTGAGTCTTCAATAGGTCTAAGCTCTAATTCGTACGAGTCTTTTTACAAATTAAAGGCCTCAATAAATTCCACTTTTGTGAGGTGACCAAATTAGGGTAGTGCAGCAGCAATTCTTAGAAAAGTGTGGTTCTTTGTCAAGATCTACGAGGTATCAAAATTTGACTCTTTTTTTTTTTTTTTTGACATTCTTCTTGGTTGAAAATACTATACAAAGATGCGCTAGTAAGATGTAGCAAAATATATAAGTTTACAAGGTAAAATCAAGGTCAAGGCATGGGATTAAATTAAAAATTAGCATTTTAAAAGGCGTAAAGTGTGACAAGAAGGCGAGATCAAAAGTCTCAAACCTTACAAATCTAGATATAAAATGACGTTTCTTGTATTTAATTTTATTTTAGTTATTCTGCGACCATTGGATAATAAGACAATGTATATCAAACGATTAAAATAATAAATACTACAATTATTTATTAAACAATTTTCAAAATCTCAAAAATTAGACAACTGAAATTAAAAGTGCAATACCCTTTTTGAGGTAAATGGGTCCAATAAATCATCGATAATAACTTAATGCATAAGCTTACATTAGCCATTAGGTCCAAGTAATGACTCCAAAACATTGGAAAAAATGAAAAGAAAAGCCCTCGCCTTTTACAACACTACTAAAACGCCTTATGGTTTGATGATATAGCACACAAAAGTATCCAATATTTAGTTAAGAATAGGCATACAACTGAATCAGTGGTCCAAACGAAATATTATGTAAAGTTCAATGACGGGTTTGCCAAAAAAAGAAAAAAAAATCAGTTACTAAAATGACTTTAAATGCAAAGTTCAGAATAAACATAACCCAATTATGTTCGTTCATTGCATGTGATAATCCGAGGGATGGTTGGGTAGGTTCAATAACTCCGTATGAATGCTGTGCCGTAAAAATTAGAGATTGGACAAAAAATTTTTGCTTTGTATGGTTGGGTAGGTTCAATAACTCCATGCGAATGTTATGGCATAAAAATTAGAGGGTGTTCAAAAAATTATATATATATATATATATATGAAAAAATACGTAACTATAAATATTTCGAACTACATTTAAAAATGAGAGACTTGTTGAAAAATTTCAAAAATTAGATGGTCACATTTATGATCACAATATGATCAGGGCTCTGTTTGGTAACCATTTTTTTCAGAATGTATTTTTCTCTCTTCTTTTCAATCACACATTCTTTATTAAAATAATATTGTACGTAAATAAAAAACTTTTCCTTATTTTTTGACCACACATTTCACATCAATTTACTATTATAAAATACATTTTTACATAAAAATATCTATCAAACACCCCCAAATAAATTTTGTGACCTATTAATTAATTAAGCATGTTAAGATCACAATAACACTCAATTTGTGGTCATAGTCACGTATTAATCAGTTAGTCACAAATTACACAATATCATGTCACAAAGATAAATTGTAGGTCACAATTATAAGTTTAGTCCCGAATCACACATTTTTTATAATTTACAAATTGTTTATTGATCACAAATAACTAAATTAACCGATCATAATCACTCTTCTTTTCACCCTGTCCTACCCAACTCTACGAACGTCGACACTATCTAAATCATTGTCTCCACCTCAAATTCACAACACGCCGCCGCCGCCACCACCACCACCACCTTCATCACATCACCACTTGCACCTCCAATTAAACACCACCATCCCATACCAATCTAAGAATCATAAATTGATTAAGCCCTAATGGCATCGCCACCAACTATTTATCTTCAATGCCACCAAAGTTATCGAACGAACCCATCACCATCTATAGAAATATCTCTCCAACACCTGCGATTTACCCCCTCCAAGGTTCTAGGGGCAAGGGTCTTGGGGGTCTAGGATTTAGTTTGGTGTAAGCTGAGATACCTGAATACCAAAAAAAAAAAAAAAAAAAAAAACCTCACAACCACTCCATACACGTGGCAGTGGCACACTTTCATTCAAATCTCCAATTAAATTGAATAGTTTCTAATAACTTCTTCAAACCAAAATATCTTGGAGCTGACTTATCCAATCAAATTTTTCTCGAGCCTCAAATTGGTGATTAATTACGATATATCCAATGAGTCTTATATTGATATATTTATCATTACTCTATCAATATTTGAATATTTGACCTAAATAAAAAATATGAATTTAAAACTCATCTCATTTTAGTCCTCAATTTTTCAAAATATAAAAATATAACATATGAAACAAATACATTTTTATTCATTTTTTTGGTCGTTACAAAAAAAAAATCTCTCCAACACCTCCTCACCTTTGATTGGAGCCTCAACCCCTTATGTAGGCCTTATGCCCCAAAATCAGCAAGGACAATCATGTTAACGAATCTAAATGTCCCAAAATCCTCCTCTACCCATCAGGACCCACCACCCCGAAACACCACACATGCCGTTTACCACCTTAGAAACGCCCATAAAAACCTTGGGTCCATTCGTACTCAGCCCTAATCACGAATTCGACCCATATGTGCCTATCCTAAAACGTGGCTCATCTCAGAGCTATGAGGTTCTTCCTACTCTTCTAATGGCGATAAGGACGTGGGGTAAAGCCCAATAGGGTCACACTAGTCTTCTTCATATGAGAGTTAGGTCACATGCAACCTTTTGCAAACGCAAATTGAGGCCATCAAATTGGCCACTTTCGATGGGAATCAGTTCTTGGGACTACTTCCAATGACTTCATAACATACAGAACCCCCATAACCACCTCTACAGCATCCAATTTGGCCTGCAAGTCAGCATTGGATTCCATGCCGATCGGCTATGGTGGAGAATATATCCATTAGAAGCAAGTTTGCAAAGATGGTGGTGGTGGATGTTAACGTCAAAAAATGATTATCCTGTTGACGGTGGTTGTAGTGGATTAGAGGTTGTGGTGGATGGAGTGATGAAAATGGGATTTTGGTTAGGATTTCGGTTAATTGGCACAAAATGTTCCTACTTTTCAATATTATTGTGCAAAAACATTCCTATCATTCATTTTTTGACATTTTCACCCCTACCTTCCACCTTTCATTGAGCAAAATGTCATTTTCATCTATTTTTGACGATTTTACCCTTCTATTTAAATAAAACAAAAAGAAAAGAAAAGAAAAAATAATGAACTAATTGCAACCTAAGTTCCAATTTTTCAAAAAATTACAAATGAGCTAAAAATATATTCTTAAAAATCAAAACTAAAAAAATAAAAAGAAAGAAAGAAAACCTTTACTGTTGCCATCCATCATAATTTCAAATAAAATTATAAAACGTTTATACTGTTGTCGCCTGTCTTTTTCTCTTCATCAGAAGCTTCCAATAAATTCAAAATTTTGGAACCAAAAATCAAGTAAATTAAAGGAAATGAGCGAAGAGTAAAAGAGAAGCGATGACGGAGAACTGGTGGCTTCGTCGTCAACATCCTCAGAAGATCGAAAGTCCCCAACTAGGTCTACCGCCTCCAACAAGAAAGCCATTATAAAGAGCGTCGACATAAAAGAGGACGTTTAGAGAGAAGTTGTTGACATTGCCATAGCTGTAAATTATTTTCATTTCACTCAAATAAGAAAAAGTAAGCAAAACCAACTAATTTTTGGATATTTTTATGTTGATTTTCATTACTTGAAAAACGTTGTTTTTTCCAGATAGGATCATAGATTCACATATATAATTTATTGAAATTTATCAAAATTTCAATGCTCTCTAATTTGGCGGGTTAAGAATAAAGTTTTTTTTTTTTTTTTTTTTATATCTTAAGAATGTATTTTTAACTCATTTGTAATTTTTTGAAAATTTGGAACTTTGGTTGCAATTAGTTCATTGTTTTTCTTTTCTTTTCTTTTTGTTTTAGTTATATAGAAGGGTAAAATCGTCAAAAATGGATGAAAATGATCTTTTGCGCAATGAAAGATGGAAGGTAAGGGTGAAAATGCAAAAAATAAAATAAAATGTAAAGACGTTTTGTACAATAACACTGCAATTTAAAGACGTTTTGTGCTAATTACCCTTGGGGTTTCTATAGTAGGTGCATGAGTTGGTGGGTGTGAAATGGGGTGGGATGAAGTGGGGTGCACCAACTTTTTGAAATAAAACTTTTTCACCTAATTATTGAAATAAAAAAAATTAAAAACTTGAGATGGGTCAAATTTTTTCAAAAAGTATTTCTTGAAATGACAGAAAGGAAGATCGAAATTGTAGAAAGTTCATTTAATTTATTTTATGGAAGATCTTATGATTATTG